TTCGTTACCTCTGTCGCGATTTCTCGCAATATCGCCATCATGAGGCGAGTTCCACGGTATCCAGGGCCGAATGTACTGGTACGATTCTGTCGAAATTTGGTCATACCCGAGAGGGTTCCACATGCGGCGTGCCGGAGGCTAGCGCGTTCGTTGCGACATTATTGACGGCTAGAATTATTTCACACATCTGTTCTGAGGCTAACTACCGAGTTTTGTTTTGTCTTAGAGTAAGATTATCGTTTAGTTCGACCACTATAGACGGCAATAGACGCGACTTATATTGTTGATAACTATTTTATTCCACATTCTCTTTTTCAAATTGCATGCGGTGTTTTGAACAATAGCTTCTTATTGGACGGCGTACTCTCAAGCATCACTTGTTGGTCACATTACTGAGGCTCGTATGTGCACCAAGTTATTTCAGCTGATCTTGTATAGTCTTGCGTGTAATTTTGGGGGGTTTTCTTGGTGGGCCTTAAGATCGTTCTCGGCGGGATGATTTGTTTGAATGGGAAAAGTTGAAAAGTTCAATAAAACTCTTATGTCATGTATATTCTTATTTGGTAAATTGAGAATTTGTGTTTTATTAATTCAGCAATTGACCTGATATTTTTCAGTTACTATAATACCTTGACATCGTCGTATGCCCGCTGTTTACCCGAAGCGATGACGAGGAATTATTAACCGCTGTGGAGCAATGCCATCTGAAGCAGATTTACGGTAACAAAACGTTTACTAAAAAAATTGCATGAACTTAAGAGATAATGATAACTTTTATTCTTCCTGAAGGTTAAAGAATATTTTTGTCATCTTAAAATGAATATTGTAAATTTTTGAGTTATTTTTCTGTTTGAATGTTGCGAAAAAATGCTATCACTTTTTTCGAGACGTTTTTAGTAAAAATGTTGTGCTTAATTTCAATTGCGTAGCAGTTAAAAAAAACAGATATAAAAAATTATTCGGGAGTCAGGACATCATAAACAGGCCCAGTGAAAGAGCCTCTGGTCCGACCGGGATAGTTAAACGCATAGCTTTTGTTCCTTTATTGTCTTACTCGCTAGCAGAAATGTGTATATAACTGGCCATGATAATATTATTGGTGGCATATTATCTTTTAAATCGGCAATATGATTAATCATTTAGAGGCCAGGGTGCGCATTGACACATAGGGTATTCCTATCGTGAAAGTTTTATATAGAACGGCATAGATGAAACTAGAAAATCATGGAGTCGGTGCAACATCGGATATACAGGGAGCAAAACTCTATGTTCATATTACAAGCCCATTGAAATACAAATACACTTAAATTACTCTTGATTAGACAAAGATTGGGATGGTCCGTACTGTATAAGGTTTCACACAATTTTAATTAAGACAATAATCAAAACAGGTGTATATCTCATATACAGGAGCTGTCAGTCCGTATAAGTTAGCAAGCAAGGCGTATAATTTTCCTCTCTGCTCAAAGCAATTAGGTTAAAAGTAATTGTGAATGAATTGCCAAGTATATATAAATAATTTCAATACCTATCATTCTACACATCATAAAAAAATACAGCGGGGAATAGTTTGTCTTTGCATCGACTAGACTGAAAGTTGAGGGCAACTGCCTCTAGAAACCGTGCGACCAGTGGCCGAGAACCACGCCGAAACTTTGACCAGAATTTACTGTGGTGGCCCAGTTCAACAGATTCATATGAATAGTATCGTGGTGGCCAGTTCAACAGATTCATAAGAATAGTACCGTGGTGGCCAGTTCAACAGATTCATATGAATAGTATCGTGGTGGTCAGTTCAACAGATTCATATGAATAGTATCGTGGTGGTCAGTTCAACAGATTCATATGAACAGTATCGTGGAGGCCAGTTCAACAGATTCATTTGAATAGTATCGCGGTTGCCAGTTCAGCAGATTCATATGAATAGTATCGTGGAGGCCAGTTCAACAGATTCATATGAATAGTATCGCGGTTGCCAGTTCAGCAGATTCATAAGAATAGTATCGTGGAGGTCAGTTCAACAGATTCATATGAATAGTATCGTGGTGAACAGTTCAACAGATTCATAAGAATAGTATCGTGGTGGCCAGTTCAACAGACTATAGATTAGTACCTACCGGGACTAGTTGAATATTAATAAAGCTTCGCAAGGAGAAAATCCTGAGACAACATCGCCAGCCAGGACGTCTGATAAGCAGAAGACACAACTTGCATGGAAATGACCTAAAAATAGTTTCTTTATTTATAACGAATGCGTAAAGCGTTCGCGGTTCATCATTTAACCTTCCAAAACTAGACTATTAAAAGCTGCACCTATTAATTAGTTTTGGAGAGTATAAATTGCATTCGGAAATTCTATGCATGAGATGCCAATTTATTTCAAAATTTATCTATTTCTTCCATGATGTGCGTCGATGATTTGATAAACTGATAATCTGGTCTCGTAACAATACTCGTCGTAGAGCTATTTTAGTTATTATGGAACAAACGTTGGAGCAACAATGTTGTAAATATCAGCGTTTATCACTGACATCGAGTGGTATCTAGGTTTAGTTTCCATTGATAATATCGTAATTTAATTGTTAACGTTAAACCAATCGAATTTACGAACATTCACATCAGGAAGAAATTGCATAGGAATGACTAATGAGATAAGCTCTTCAAACAAAATTTGCTCTTAAGATCAAAATATATTAAGCAATCAAGCTCTATTATATCAAACATTATTAGAATGTTGCAAACGGTAAAAATATTCGGCTCACCATCGGTCCTCAATCACATCATGAACGCAACGTAACTGACGACGAGATGTCGTTTGGAGTTTGAACCTCCGAAATATGATGGACTATGACAGCTGCTCACGGTCAATCCTTGAGATATTAATAGCGTGAAAGCTCATACATGGAAACAATTTGTTATCATATCAATACATATATGTCACCGATATGTCATCTCCGCACCGAATGCAGTACCAGAATTAACCTCGTTATAAGTTATAAGTTGTCTTCTTTGACTAGTTCCTGAAAAGCTCGTACCACAAATAAATGAAGATTCATGTCGTATCCAATTTTGGTGTTAAAAATCGAAGAATTTTCAGCGTAAGAAAGCGTCGACTTATGCAATTCAGCGTTAAGGATTCAGATTCAAACAAAGTAACAACCAATCAACAAATAAATATATCGCCTAATCAACTGATATTAAAAATATAAAATTTCTGTATTAAATCTTAAAAGTCACAATAACTTATTAGCGATTTACTAAATAATATGTCATCATATTACACCGCTATTCAATCCTTCACTCAGAGTATACGGAGATATTCCTGGGAATAATATAATCCACAATAAATATACAATCATTAGCTTGTTCTACGAATAGAATAACTTAATCTTCAGCACAGCAACTTGACACACGAATAAAAAGAATAATACAATTTGAATAATCTCAATTGTTATGAAATTCAAGAGAATCTCTGAACACGTTAATAAATATTTTAATTTTTACAGTACATAATAAAGGTCGGAATCTCCAATGTACTCATTTTCAGAAGTCAAGCTTGTGCGTCAAATTGAAGGACTAATTTTTCCATTAAAAACATTGTACACTGGTATTGTGATTGTAATACAGTTTAGTGATTGTGTGGTAGTGTAGTGATAGTGCTGTAGTGTTGTGATTGTTAAACAGTGTAGTGATTTTGCTGTAGTGTAGTGATTGTGCGGTAGTGCTGCGATTGTTCACAATATAGTGATTGTTCTACAGTGTAGTGATTGTGTTGTAGTGTAATGGTTGTTCTACAATGTAATAATTTTGTTGTAGTGTTGTGATTGTTCTACAGTGTAGTGATTTTGTTGTAGTGTAGTGATTGTGTTGCATTGTAGTTTCGAGAGTATTTTGCAATGCTGTGATTGCGTTGTAGTGCAGTGATTGTATTATTAATGTTTTGTGTTATACAGATGTCAAAAGCGATTTTTCCCTGTCCATATCATTTACACTGTGAATAACGTGGCTGGTTACAAGCACGGAAAATTAGCTGTTGCAACGAACGTTTGAACGGCGGCACCTCAGCAACTGCAAATAGGAATGAGCAATTGCTGCAATATTGTGCAATAGCTGCTATATATTGTGCATATTACAGCAATAGCTGCAATATGAAATAGAATAACTTAATCTTCAGCACAGCAACTTGACACACGAATAAAAAGAATAATACAATTTGATTAATCTCAATTGCTATGAGATTGAAGAGAATCTCTGAACACATTAATAAATATTTGAATTTTTTATAATACATAATAAAGGCCGGCGTCTCCAATGTACTAATTTTCAGAAGTCAAGCTAGTGCGTCAAATTGAAGTAAAATATTTTCCATTAAAAGAATCAAATTTAAGAGTCTCGAATAAGACACTTGTATTGTAGTGATTGTTATACAGTGTGGTGATTGTGTTGTAGTATAGTGATTGTTCTACAGTATAGTGATTGTTCTACAGTGTAGCGATTTTGTTGTAGTGTCGTGAGTATTTCACAATGTTGTGATTGTGTTGTAGTGCAGTAATTGTGTTATTTATGTTTTGTGTTATACGGATATCATGAGCGATTTTTCCCTGTCCATATCATTTACACTGTGAATAACGCGGCTGGTTACAAGCTCGGAAAATTTGCTTGTGCATATTACAGCAATATATTGTGCATATTACAGCAATAGCTGCAATATGAGCAGTAGGAATGAGCAATTTCAGCAAATGGCTGTCACTGCAATAGGAATGAGTGCTGACACGGTCGGTCCGCACCCCAGCAAACGCGGTGTCAAGAAATAGAATATTTGCCTAATTCTTCAGTGAAATTTGTCTGTATTAATCTCCAGGATCTCGTATTTTTTCCCGCAAATTAATATGAATAAAGAAATGAATATGGTTCTGTTCAAGTCTATTTTAATTGACTTTGCAAAGATAATAATAGCGTAACATAGAAAAATAAATATTATTGTCAGCAAATCATTTGGATAATTATCATCAAATAAATTATTAAAATTCAATTTAAATCTAAAGAGCCGAATAGCGAATGAGGCTCAGGATGAAGTTTGCTGTACAGAAGGAAATATCAAACTGCCTGCAGACGTACGAAGATCAAGCCTTCTCAGTCGCCACAGATGCTTGCTAAGCCGGCAGCTTAGCTCATTGCTGAAAATTAACGAAAAAACATTAAGAATAATTATTAATTCGTGGATCCATCTTATAATATACATCAATGTTATTAGTGTCTCGCGACATGATTCTTCGAGCGACTCGCTAATCTCATGACAAAAAAAAATTGAACCAGATTTCAGCTTCCCAATATCAGTATTAGATGTCATTCACAAGCACTTTTTATTGATTGCAGTTTCACTAATCTCATAACAAAAACAAAAAATTAAACCAGGTTTCATCTTTCCAATATCAGTATGGTATCTCATTTACATGCAGTTTATATTGATTGCAGTTACTGCAGCAGCTACTCACTGAGCAGTGTGGGGGGCGCAGGCACTGAGGCCGCCATGCCGCCCAGCGCCCCGGGCCGCGACAGGAGGCTCGCCGGGCCGCTGCCCGCGCGGATGGGCTTCGCTGCAACACAAAATTGTGGACCCGTTAACCGCTTATACATCGCCGTTAAACACATCGCTTATACATCACCGTTAAACACACCGCTTATACATCACTGTTAAACACAACGTTTATCCATCGCTGTTAAACACACCGCTTATCCATCACGTTAGGCACAACGTTCATCCATCATCGTTAGGCACAACGTTCATCCATCATCGTTAGGCACAATGTTCAATCGTTCATCCATCAGAGCGGATAACTGTAGTTCCATACAATATTCTGAGTAATCATCTTACAATTACAAGATGTATACTCAGAGAACTGTGTTAGACTTTTTACAAATAGCTGTAACCTTTTTGCGTTTTGGGGGGTTATTCTGACCCAGTTTAGTCCAACAAAAGGACGTATCAGTGACGAAATAAATCATCATTCAATCATTCAATGATACGATATGCATGAAATATTGTCAGGCTCCGAATGAGTCAACAAATAGATAATGTCTAACGGAGCACGAAGAGCAAAAATAAAACTGAGGGTACTGAAGTAGTGAAGAAGGACGCCATGCACCATGAAAATGACTTGAAATTCAATAACAAATACAAATTAGTTAATCAATAATATAAATGAATATCATGATGACGAACAAAGGGAATGATATATAGTCGTAAAATGATTCAAAATTTGCACTGACATGGATATAGGCACGGCTAACACATAAATGTACGACTAAGATATAAACATGAAAGTGTACCTATAGATATGGTATACAGGAATAATAAAAAGCGAATATATGAAGGCTAAGGGACTAACCGATGTGGGCGCCGTGGCCCCGGCGGCTGAGGTTCTTCTGGCGCACGGCCTCCTTGATACGGTCCACCTCGTACTGGTAGCGCTTCCTGTCCCGCATCGCTCCCTCCTTCGCCTCCTTCAGCGCCGTCTCCAGCGCCTGCGTACATAACCATTGCGTGGAACAAGCTTCTCAATGTACCATGAATGGTATTACTAATGTTTTAAAGTATCATTGTTATTTGGTCTCCAGTCTCATATAATGAATGGTTCTAATAATATTGATGTCTTTGCTCTCTTATTGCCCAGTTTTGCCCAGTTCCTGCACACGCAACATGTGCTCTGGTAAAGGTTCAAGCAGTTGTCTCGGGTTAGGATATTCTATTTCAGATTTGCGTTACAAGCAATTTTTTTGTGTCCTTCACAGCTCTTGAAGGAAAATATTTTGGGTCCTTTGAAACAGTATATTAAATTCTTTACAACATCATTAGTTTACTATATGCAGATCTCATACGCGTGAACCGTGACAGTTTCCTGACTTGTCAATTTTACTTTATATTTTTTATGTTGGGTTGTCTGAGATGATTTACCGTAGCCTATAGGAGTATCAGCAGCAGGGAACCTGTCGAACTGCACAGTCGATGTAGAAGATTCAAGACTGGTAATTACGCAAAGCTGATGGGCCTAAAATGTATGCATCAATAACGAAACATTAAATGAAATTGGATATATACGAAGGGAGTAATTCAAATCAAACTCGGCAAAATAGCTCAAAAAATATAACTCAGTACTCACTGCAGTTATAGTGACAGAGAGCGCATTTTTCCGTCGCCGTAAACGCTAAGTCACGGACAGACGGACGGACATGACGAGCACAATAAGGCATTTTTTTCCATAAATGATAAAATGCGCTCAAAATATGTCAATCTTGAGTGTACAAATCATCACGATATAACACCAATAACATATGACCACCCACACCTCGACCATAATACGCAAGAAACCTATTTATTTTGTGCAAAAGTTAAAAACTAGAAATACACAACAAATGATTATTTTCCAGAGGCCATTCAATGAAGAATAATTAAGAGTTCCTAACTCCGTCAGCTAATCACTTTCTGATTTTACAGCTAAACCAAACAATCATGGACGAGAAATCGGCCGCTACGTTCAAATAGGACGCTGCGTGCACTTAGACCGCAACGTGTACCTTGGCCGCTACGATTAATTATGCCGCTACGTGTACCTAGGTCGCCACATTTACTTAGGCAGTTGCGTGTACTACGGCCGCTATCTTTACAGCGGCCGTAGTACACGTAATGATTATAAATTGATAGCAATTATAAACACGTAATTGATAAACCTAAGCCAGTTTTGATAGCCCGGCCCTGGCAGGACAAGAAATATATAAGTCACTGTACGCACCTTGACGCGCTCCGCCGTAGCGCGCAGACGCTTCTCGAGCTTGGGCAGCTCGCAGCGCAGTTCAGCGTTGTCGCGCACCAGCTGCTTGTGGACCTTCGTGAGCTGGTCCAGGTTGTTCTCCAGGAAGTTGATCTTCTGACGCTGGGCCGGTGTTCCTAGCGACATGTCGTCCTCATCCCCGCTGGCTTGCTGCACACAAATAAAATAAACTCTCCTATTAACGTGAGTCAGAAGTATGTTTTAAACCTATGCAACCTTTAAATGGGCACAATAAATCAATTTAAGAGAAATTTTTAGCAAATGAAGTCCATAGTATCACGGTAAAACCGCAGGAAATAAAAATGGTTGACAAATATTTTGAGAAGTCGTATGCCATGATAGAATAAAAAACCTTCTTCATCCTGGTGAGAAGGTCTGCCACGAAGGCCTTCCTGAGGTTGTGCAGGGTCTGCAGCTCGCGCTGTACGGTGTCTTCTAGACCCTTCAGGTCGTGGTGGGCCTGTTCACGTCTCTCGCTCTGCAGCCTGCACCACAAGCATGGCATAATGACAGACATATAAATAATTATGTCATTATATATGCTGTTATCTTCAGCATATGTGATGACACGTAAGCCCCTCTTGATCATTTATGAAGTATTAATATATTTTTACGGAAAGGTAAACACGATTGTGAAATTTCTTGTTTAGCATTCATATGTACTTTAATTTCTGACAACAACATTCACTCTAGAAAATTTAATTTATTTAGCAATTATAAATATTCATCGTCTGCTGATTTCATCACGTATATTCCAAGAGTAAAAACGTAATTTTTCGACGGATCATAACATAAGCCTTAGGGAAATTACGGTTTAAAAAGGTGAAATTTTAGATTTTTTTTTCAAAAATTTTTATTTTTGTTTTCAAAGGCTAATTCCACTTTACCAAAACATCGATAACTTCAATATCCTGCCAAAACTATTTACTCACATGAAGTCATGAAGCTTACTAAACAGTAAACTCAACTGTTTAACTAAACTACATTTCAAAAATACGGTTCAACTTAACTCAACTGTTTACTCACATGAGGTCATGCAGCTTAGCCGTCTTCTCAGCTTCCTCAGCTCGCAGTCGATCGTACTCAGCGCGGAGCTGACGCAGCTCCAGACTCAGCTGTTGGTTCTCACTTTAACATGAATATTATTTAGTGATATGAAGCTGTTGAGCAATCTGATCAAGCTTGTACTCATTCGAACATTTATTAAATTATCAGGTATTTGCTTAATCCCTGTGATGCGTACGAGATAAAAAATGAACTAACAGCTGTTATAAAATAACTGCATTTATACAGTTATTATGCAGTTTATTTTTACAGTTATACATTATGCACATTATTTCAAATGAAATCACTAACACAGAAGCACCACACTCAGCACGAGGTCAACATCTCACTCCTTGAGTTGGTCGATCTTGTGCTGCTTGTCAGCGATGTCCTCCCTGAGCTGAACGAGCTGCTTATGGTGAGCCTCGCGCTGACTCTCCAGCTTCTTCTCGAAGAGCTCAGCGTTGCCTACACCGCCCGCCGCTGCACTCAGCTCAACGGCCGCCTTCAGTTCTGCTGCTTCAGCGTTCAGCTCATCCACCTAAAAAGCAACCATTTCCGAGACGTTCAAGCGCAAAAATCACAAAACACTTCAAGCTCCTAGCATAATATAGGAAAAATTTGAATTAAATTGTATGAAAAAAACAAAATGCATTGTGTAGCAATGGGATAAATCAAGCCATCAAAACATTACTTTCTTAACATATTTTAGATGAACTTGGAAATCTCACGGTAGTACTGAAAAAAGAGAACTAACTTAGTGGACAATAATATCCCATATAATATGAATTTAAGTGGAATGAATGAGTGCAAATGGCGTTAGCTCACCTGCTCCTCAAGTGTCCTTTTTTGGTCTTCGTTGGATTTGAGGGCGTCTTGCAGGGACGCCATCTTGGCCTGGTGCTGCGAGATCAGCAGACGACACTCGCTCACCTCGCGCTCGTAGTCGTCCAGCTTCTTATTGCAGTCTCCCTGTGTCCAAAAATGATAAGTTGTTAAAAGCTCTGGCCTCACAGAGCCACGATCAGATCCCTGAGACCTCCAGATCGGTGTACGATCTAAGATCGCTTGTTAGTTCGGCCGTCACCAGCGCTTGGTCACAGAAACACTTTAGCAACATTTTCGTGGCTGACACGCCCCATGCCTCAAGAATATTGTTACGAATTTGAGTGAATAGAATAAAATAATATGGGCGGTTTTAAATTGGCCGGTGAGTATCCATTGATCGGCCGGTGCCAATATGCTTAGGCCGACTGCTGGCCTTCTCTTTTCGCTCTCGTTTCGAGGAAGGTTTGAAATTACTTGACAGCAATAAACGAGTAATTCATGAGCTTGTGGTTGCCTTCTGAACTACTGGGCATGCGTTGAGTCCTCAAATTGACAAATGTACGACAATCGAAAAAAATCCTGTTTTAAGCTGAGAATTTTTCACAGCTTATTTGGGTTATTTATTCAAGTCAACTACAGGTTGATTCACGGAAACTTCCTGTTTTGTACTTCGCGCATATAGCAGCCAGATATTGTAGGAAAAGGGTGAAAAGTATTTTATATGAAAGGCAATGTCATGAAATTTTGTATCCCGCCTAGCTAATAGCTACTATCCATTGAACAAGTGATCAGCGTGCGTTTGCATTCGAGCGTACTTTTCTAATGGTCTTTCCATTTTCGCTACTCAACGAGCTAGCTATTCGTATTCGCGGTTCCGTATATTCGTCCTTCAGAGGTGACCTTCTATGGCCAGCGGCCAGCCTGATCCCCCGATTTGGCTCCATATGATTTTTTACGGGGTTATCTTAAATCAATTGTTTACAAAGACTGTCAAAGGATCCAACCTAATTTGAAGCATAACATACGCCAAGCCATCGCCAACATATCCTTCAATACGCGCCAACATGATTAAGCGAGTTAACAAAATCATACTAACTGAAGGCATTGACAATGGGGGCCGTTACTTGTTCGACGTCTTTAAAACTAAATGATACAAAAATTCAGGTATTTTTTCAATAAAATTGATATTGTTATGATATCTTTAAAAGTTCTTTTCATTGAGCTTTCAAATCTGGAAGTTTCTGTAAATCGCCCTGGATAAGGATTTTGATTCAGGAATGCATGGTACAACAATATATATTATGAAATTTCCATGCTTTACGAACATCGGAATGAAAAATATGCCTCCACGATAGCATTTTAATACAAAGTTTACAAAATTTAGCTAAATGACCATCATTTGAAAATGATTAGCTGGAATTGGAATTTAAATTTCAGCCTGATTTAATAGAATTTCAATAGTAGTTGAAATAAATAATTTCAAAATAACGGACAAATTAGTTTTGCATAGGATAAAGCAATGCTGGAGATCAAATAATGTCACCATTTTTCAAAGCAATAATAGCTAATTGTATCTATCAATTAGATTGATTCGTTTGAAGTTCGAAGAAGCTTTTTCGCCATGAACCAAAGTGTATTTTATATACATGGTTGACGTGCACCAGCTCCATTAGTAAAAGCGAATCATCATAAATTCTGTTAACTTTTATCTCACACAAAAGAAAGAAACAAATAATTTAATTAAAATCACTTAATTTATTATAAGCGTTTCTCGCCTGGAAGTTCTCGAGCGTAGAGCAGCGCTGGACCAGGTTGCGCACTTCGCTCTTCATCTTCGAGACGTAGAGGCGCGCCACGGTAAACTCCTCCTCTATCTTGGTCGGGTCTGTCGCGTTCTGCCGGCCGAGAGGGGAGATTACAACGAGTCCGTTCCACTAAAAGTCTATTATTATTTGAAGGTTTATGAAGAATTATGCATCGTAATATGGTCTCTGTTACTGGAATTGTTTACCATACCAAGGGGGATGAAGGACGATTATTCCGTTTTTAGTTAAAAACCAAAGTGATGAGCGACGACCATTTCATTCTAGACGAAACAAAAGTCGAGATTATATGCGGTGTAACAATAAATAGAGGAGCACATTCAGCGGTGAATTTTAACGCATGGGAACCACGAACAATTGACCGATACCCGATTAATTTTTCTCGCTACCTTAAGCTGGTCAACTCAAATTCAAGTTTAACCTTTTGCTATTATTTGCTGCGGACTCCGACATTCTGATAAAATTGACTAAAACATTTATATACAACTTTTCCTAAAATCATTTCTCACAATCTCAAAATCAGAATGTTTATGATAGCTGATATCAAAACAGTTGTATATAGTCCTAAAAAGTCATTTATTTCAATACGATTATTCCTTGAGATCAAGTGAATCCAACTCTCTCAATGTCCACCAATCAAAAATGAACTTCGGGTCTGTCGCGTTCTGCCGGCCGAGGGGGAGATTACAACGAGTCCGTTCCACTAGAAGTCTATTATTAATTGAAGGTTTATCAGAATTATGCACCGTAATATGAATTATGTCATTAGAATTTTTACCATATAAAAGGGGATGAAGGACGATTTTTCAGTTTTAATTAAAAACCCAAGTGATGATAGACGACTATTTCATTCTAGACCAGTGGTTCCCAAAGTGGGCGATATCGCCTCCCTAGGGGCAGTGGAAAGATTTTGGAGGGCAGTAAGGAAGAAGAGGGCGGAAGGGGGGCGATAGTCCGAAGTCAATGTCAGAAGTGCGAACTTTTGTTTGACGATTTGTACATAACACGTGCAGCACATGACTCCCAGCGAAGGTTTTTTTCACCAAGATCTGTTTTTTAACCTCTCCTGGGTTTACGTCTCGGACAAATTAACAGCCGAACTCGCGGCCGGTTTCACGGCCAATTTCCAAATTCAATGATCAAGGAATATCTCTCAAACTAATTAACTTAACTCGATGAAACTTGGTACACGTATTCATTAGGGCCTAACGATAATGTTTTGCTCGTGAAAATTGTTTGAATTTACCATCGTTTGTTTTTGCCATAGTTATATGGCAATACGGGCCGAAATTCACAGTGATCAAGTAATTTCTTCCAAACTACTGAACAGATTCGAACAAAATTTTGAATTTACAGTCATAACTACCAAACGAAAATGTTTAGCTCGTGAAAAAATTTTCGGTTGTGCCGAAAAAAATCGAAAAAAAAACGGCCGGTAGAAAAGCTGGTCGTTCCGCCTATATCTGTATAACTCGCGAACGAAAGCAAAATAGAAAAATTAACACGAGCTAAACATCACCTTTGAGAGATTAGGTATTTATATACCAAGTTTCGTTGAAATCATTTCTGTAGTTTAGAAGAAATTTCTTGATCGCCGCGAATTTAAGTGACAAATTACCGGGCGATACGGGCCGAATAGGAAGTGTGAAATCAAGAATGACGGTGAACTGAAAAAAAACTCGCAAAGGAAGGTCGAAAGTAAAATCGAAAAAATTTTATAAGCTGAAAAATCACCGTTTGATATTGAGGAATGTATATTCACAATTTCGTTCAAATCTCTTCAATAGTTTGGAAGAAATTCTTTGATCACTGCGAATTTCGGCCTGTTTCGCAATATACGCGTAACTCACGAATGAAGGTGAAATTTAAAAAAAATTACGAGCTAAACATCACCGTTAAGTTCTGATGAATACATGTTCCAAGTTTCATAGAGCTGCGTTCATTAGTTTGGAAGATATTACTTGATAATTGAATTTGGAGATTGGTCGTGAGACCGGCCACGAGTCCGGCCGTAAATTCGTCCGCGACGTCCTAGGTTTCTAGTGCTGAAACAGTTAAAATAGCTGAAAAACATATTGGTTCACGAAATGGGGTTCTATTTGTGAAATACACATTTGTGTTTAACCTTTATCTTTTAAAATTGCAGTGTACTAAGTTTCAAGAAAGAGGCGTATGTCTGTGGGGGGCGCTAAAAATTCACTAGTGAGCCAAAGGAGGCGCCAGCCTGAAAAAGGTTGGGAACCACTGTTCTAGACGATACAACAGTCGAGATTATATGCGGCGTATCAATAAATGCAGGCGCACATACAGCGTTCCATTTGAACACATGTGAACCACGAACAATAATATTGACCGCTTCCCGATTAATTTTACTCGCTACCTTAAGCTGGTCAACTCAAATTCAAGTTTAACCCCCTGCTATTATTTGCTGCTGACTCCAGCTACATTCTGATAAAATTGACCAAAACATTTAATTATAACTTTTCCTAAAATCATTCCTCATAATCTCAAAATCAGAATGTTAATGATGGCTGACGATTTAAACATTTATATAGTCCTAAAAATTCATTTATTTCTATATTATGATTCCTTGAGATCAACTGCATCTAACTCTCTCAATGTCCACAAATCAAAAATGAACTCAGACACAAGCTTGACCCGCCAGGCAAATGACGTTGGAACTACGATGATTACGATCAGATATTATGGAAACGATAACATCGTTCAATAAACTTTGATTCAACGGCAGATGCCTTATGGGGAAAAAATTGTTGTTGTTGCGGTGTCAGGAGAGAAGAGTGTTAAAAAATATAACTCAGTACTCACTGCAGTGAGTGACAGAGAGCGCATTTTCTCGTCGACGAAAACGTGAAGTCACGGACGGACAGACAGACGGACAGACATGGCGAGCACAATAGTGCATTTTTTCCATAAATGAAAAAATGCGCTAACAAGAAGTTTCTTTGAGAAAAAAATCATTACGGAGGCGTCTGGCCCGGCACTCACGAGGGAGTTGGTGTCTGTGGCCGAGCCGCCGATGACAGAGCCCACCTCGCCCAGGTCGGCCAGCAGCTTCGTGAGCATCTCGGTGATGCGGCGCTTGCTGGCACTCGTCGACTCCCTCATCTGCTGCAGCTCTGCGTTCATCTCCGACAGGTTGCCCTGAGGTCGGCGGTGCGATTAATAATGAGCACTTAATGACTTCAGTGAGGGTGATTAAGTGCAGTCAGCGCCATAATTAGAACTAATTTTTTAAACTTGATTACTTCAGTGTGGATCACCAAGGGAAGTCATCACCATCAGTGCGACTAATGATAAACACTTAATGCCTTCAGTGATGGTGAGTGTTTGACGTGCCTTTACTGCGACTCTAAGTGTCTAGTTAATGGCATAAGTAAGATATATTCTCTGAAGTATTAAATGCTGCATATATAGTGATTTTTTTTAATTGTAAACCTATCTTAAACATGATTTGGATTATTTAAAAACAAGTTTTTCGCGAGATGTTCTACAAAATGCAGGCACATGAGTTTTCGAGAAGATTAGACAGGACAACGGACATGCATGCTAGGCCACTCACGAGTTTCTGCGAGAGCTCATCACTGAGAGATTCATTTTCTTTACACTTGATCTCGACCTCCTGGCTCTTCTGGTCGTAGTTGAGAGCGAGCTCCTCGAGCGCCTGGAGGACCTCCTTGACCTCATCCTTGGCGGCGTCGTTCTCGGCCTGGATGCGCGTCATCTCGGACTGCAGCACCTCGTAGTCCCGCCGCGTGCTGCCGATCAGCTGCGACGGGCGTAGAAATTTGGGAGTTACTACTGTAGTTACTAATCAGCAGCAACGTGTGCGACCATTTAGGTGTTGTTAAAGTGGTAACAAACTCTAAGCTTGTTTCCTGAAAGGGCGTCTATGATGGAATGTTTATAGTTCACTACAAATCGACAAAAGCTCTTGAGTAATCATGCAGGATTACTCGAAGAAACAAGACAGTATTTATAGTAAGATAAGTTTTTCTGGATGAACTTCGAATGTTACTGCCGTGACTTACCTCCTCCTGTTCCATCATCTGCTCCTTGAGTTTCTCGACCATCTGGCTGTGCTGGTTGATCTCTTCGTCCTTCTCGTCCATCTGAGCGTAGAGGGCGGCCAAGTTGCGCTCCCACGCGGCCTTCACATTCGCCGCCACAGGCCCCACCTCCGCCAGAGCCTCGCTCACGCTCAGGCGGTTGTCCGCCAAGTCTTTTTGCGGGTCTGCGCGCAATATTTCAGATATATTTCTTTTCAGTGGACCATGAATTTTGAAGCGAAGAGAACGCCAATTATATTAACCATATCTTCAATGAAAATATTTCGGATACCAGGTGCATCTCAGCTCAAAAATTTTATTGAATGCCTGTAAATGCAATGATGAAAATATCCGTAAAGTCCTCGGGCGTCATGCGAGGTTAATAAATTTTGCTTTTAGCAGATTCTATCATTGATTTCAATTACTGCCTTCATTTCTCGGAGATTATCGGGATTGAGAAGCAAGCGCTTTGTTTTATTCGAATTTGTGTTTACTCGAAAAAATCTGGGACAGAAACCTAATTTTCATGTTTGCAGTTAAAATTTTGGATTTATACCTAAATTTCGAGTGTCATTTGATTCTAAGTCGCACTGCGCTGAATCTTCTACATTGTTTATTTATAAATTTTGTTCCAATTAGAAAAATAATCGCGGAATAAGAATAAATATATATTATTATAAAATAAAATTAAAAAATTCTAATTATAATTTAACTATATTAAATTATAATTATATTCTATTGACCTATTGTACACTGGTACAAATTTAATTATATTAAATTATAATAATTGTAAAATTATTATAAATAAAATTATTATAAAAATAAATATAAGTCAATTAAGAGCACCCCATCTCAAAACTTAAAATAATTGTTCATGTACAAGACATTGCAAGAAGCTCGAGATATAAAATAAACCCAAAATGTCTGGACTCACTCTCGACCATGGAGCGCTCCATTTCGATGGCGACCTGTTCCCTGGTCTCCACCTTCTCGCCACGTCTCCAGCGGTACAGCTCGGCCTCCATCACCTCCAGTTGGCTCTTCAGTTTCGTTACCTAACCACAAAAAATCAATCTATGCGCTACAAATTTCTGCTCACTCATGTGAAAAAACTAACCCAGTGGATACTGATTCATTAGCTATCGACATTTACTGTCTTCAATCACTCAATGTCGTCGGCTACTTTAAAAATCAATATATTGATAAGCAGCGAGCTATTGAGTTTGAGTATAAAATTGATATCAAAATGGTTGAGTTTAAACTATCACAACTCAGCACTTTCATTCAATAAAATCTATACATATTGATGCTTGTGTTGCTCCATGTTACCCTGCACTCTCTCCCTCACATTGTTCCAGGTTGCACTGCACGTTCAAGCACGGTACTCAACTCCCTCCTGTTGCTCCATGTTGCACTGCATCTCACATAATCACACGGCACGGTACATAATCACACGGCACGCTACATAACCACACGACCAGGGGCCATACTTTCACTCTCTAAGTGAACGTAAGTACTTACGCTCTATTTTCTTGTCTATGATAGGTGGATTTTGCTTGAAAGGCCGTCAATGATTGGCTGATGAACTTACGATCTCTTAACTTTTTTTTGAAAGTATAGGCCCAGACCCGTACCTTCTCCCTCTCTTTGGACCATCGTCGCTTCCACTCCTCAGCGGTGAGCTCCTCGTTGACCTGCACGCAGTTCTTGATGGTCTTGGCGCTGCACAAACGCAAGCGTCGCGTCTTAGCTCAACGCCACGTAGCCAATTTCCGTATATTATAAACTAGCACAAAGTGGTCCCTTTCTCTAAACTTCAAGAGTGTAAAATAACTACGTATCTCGTCAATTATAGCTTTATAACATATAATCATTTACGATTAACAGTCTTCAAACCCATACGTTTCCAGAATTACCGTCTTGAATAAAGATTGAGTACAAACCTCCCGGCTATTGAAGGCTTAACGTAAGGACTGCAAGCAAAATCTCGTAAAGTCTCATCTTAGGTAAAACTTTTAGATCAAATAAGCCATCAACTCCCGGACCGTTCTGTTCATGTGCTCATTTCTATCGAACTAATATACGAGGACTGAATCAAACGAAAATCATAAGATTTTGCAATATTTCAGATTGTATAATCTTGGCCTTGATATAATTTATCTTAAAATTACCATTAGTATTCATGAGCCAGAAAGAAGGTTTACGCTGATGATTGAGTTACCGTTTACCGAAGTCGAGAGTGGATCGCGTCTCGGCCTCGTTGTAGGAGGCCGGGGAGCAGCAGATGACGATGGTGGTGCGGGCGTTCCCTCCCAGCGACTCCTGCAGGATACGCGTCAGCTTCGAGTCCCTGTACGGCACGTGGCCCTGGTGGGGAGGAAGGTCCTGTCACTAATATGTTGGTTTAGGACTTTAGGTGATAGATTTACTGTGAACATGGCCTAGTCGTAACATTATGAAAAAATAAAAAATTAGGTTTAAATGTCGCACACCAGCTAGATAATAGTTAGTTTAGTGGCCAAATGTTTACTAGCGCTTCAGCTATTTAGCTATCTCGCACCGAAAGTCAAGATGAACATCACCATAGAGGTGGAACGTCTCAATTATTCATTACCCACAAGGGGCGGAAGGTCTCAGATGTCCAGCCCGCTGAAGCTGGCTCGAAATGAGGGGGCGCCAGATAATAATTTAAAAATAATAATGTTTGGATTATAATTTCATGTAATTTTGTCGCTTGGTCAGATAGATCGCAATACACTCCTAAGGAGATAATGTTAAAGTAACCTTGGCATCGGCGAGCGCGGCGATGACGTTACCGAGCGCCGACAAGGACTTGTTGATGTTCTTCGCCTCGTCCAGCACAGTCCCCTCCGCCCCAGTCTTGCTCACCTGTAAGAGTAACAACACATGATCATGGGTTTACTAATCTTAGTTATTATGATGTTATTATTATTTAATGCTTTCTAGTGCTTTAAGGTTGTATATGCTCGTTGCTTTTATCACGTGTTGTCTACTGTGTTACATGGTTTTATGTTTTGTGGTCCAGTGAAATCGGAGCTTTCTATGTTTAATGGTTCGATGTGATCCATGCTTTTAAGGCCTTGTGCTTCGAGTTGTTCAATAATTTCTATGTATTTTTTACCCAGTGATTGGGAAAAATTTTCGACAAAAGGGCTGACAAATGGCTGACGTATTCATTGACCGACTTCGTGACTGTTTTTTTGCGTTTCGCTCAAAAGGTCGTAACGAAAGTAGAGAATTAGTAACAATTAGAAATGTATATTCAACTACAAATTTAAATTCAGATGGGATGTTCAACTAATTCATTATTTACTTCCACTATAGGTTTTTCATACATTATGATCCATTCTAGAGATAAGGATGTAAAATAATTAGAGAAAAATGATACCGAATCTGAATGAATAATGGAACTCTATAATCTTCCAATGGAAGCCTCTAACTTCTCAAAGTGCTTAGATCATCGATCAATCTACCTTCATGGTCATGGCACTCATTCACCTATCAAAATGAAGTATAAAATATTGTTTTTATGCATTATTAAAGCTGTACATTCATTGTACATGACGCTGCAGCCCTCTCCTATATCAGCAGGCCCAATGCGCGGCTTACGAGAGCCACTGAATCAGGCCCGCTAGAACGAGATTGAATTTGTGTTGCAAAACTTCAACCGTGCAATCCTGTTACGGCAATAAAGTGGCAGCACAATCCTGCTATAACAATAAACGAGTGTTGGCGCAATATTGCTGCGGTAATAAAGGAGCAGTAGCGCAATCCGACTACGTTAATAACGTTGTGCCGTTGCAGTTCTCTTGCTGCAATAACGCTGTTGTCTCGCCAATCTCTTCCTGCAATAACAAAGTTGTCTGCAAATTCGTTGCTTTAATAACCCGGTTGTCTCGCAAATCTGGTAATATAACAACACTCTATGCCGCAATCAAAGTTTGCGCTTAATTTCTTAAGCAACTGCAGACAGGAGATCAAAGGACGTCTGAGTAAGCTTGGCACCGCCACGCAGAAACGGAAATTGTGACTGCCAGATAGCCTCCAGCATCTGCATGTATTAAATAACGGAATGGGATACAGACGCGACATTGCATATTTTTTGTAGATTCACATCAGGTAATGTTACTGATTCTTTTGCATATTATTACGCCTCGCAGAACGCATTTCCATTAATCAACCTTTCTAGTGATTACTTGTAAGAAGACCCATGTACAACAATAACAACAAATAGCAAGAAAAATCTCCTAGCTACAGTTTTTTGTACCTTTAGATCAATTTTTGTCAATGATGAAAGTTGAAAAACGGTTTCAGTACAATTAATGATAACAAGTAGATCACGACTGTAATTGGCAGAACGTGCACGATAATTCAATTAATGTGGTTTCGCTAAATACATTATATCTTAATTGCTGCTCAGTTCCTTGGATACAGAATGGCGGCGAGCTCGAATTTCACGCACTCATATTTGTTTCCTTTCTATGGCGACAGCGAAAAACTTTTGAGGATGAATGTACATGAACATCGAATGAACTGAACGGAGTCTGATTATATATATTCTGGATATGTTCAAGCCATCAAATCATGCCCTTTTAACTCGTGGAATTACAGTGAGTTTATCATTTATTTTAATATCGCTGTTTTGCACCACATCAAAGTGTGTCAGCACACAAATATCTCTAGCTGTAAATGAACTCACTTTTTCCGAGCCGGCCAAGTCGACGAGGTAAAGTTTGCCTACGAGTTTCTTTTGCGTCTCGATGTTCTCTTGCTTGACTTGGATCAGGAAGACGCTGTGAGACCGAGAGCTGTGCTCGTTCATGTCTGTCAATACAGGAGGAACTAAGTTACTATTTATTACTTCATAATAGTTTATTTATGACGAAATTCATTATATATTCATATCTAGTAAACTATTACTAGAATAAACATTGAGGTAAAAAGTTTTCTTATGCAGTAGCTTTTTTTAAGAAGGTATTATTGAGCCACTACAAGCAGCATCAATCTTTAATCGGCACTCCGCTCTTTATACTACGCGAAGATAGCTTATTAGCCTAAGATAACAATTCATAACAATACGAAGATTTCCAAGGGCCGTGTCATTATTTATAAAACTGAAAAACATACCATTTGATAAAAGAAAGGTTTGATTGAAATGCCGAGTGTAAACTAATAATATTCAAGAAGAGGCGAAGACCAAGTAACTCACTAGTGACAGCGATGTGTCGGAAGACCAAGTAACTCACTAGTGACAGCGATGTGTCGGAAGACCAAGTAACTCACTAGTGACAGCGATGTGTCGGTTGTTCTTGCCCAGCTCGATGACCTCGAAGACCTCCTCAGGGGAAGACACGAACCGCTCCGTCGCGCCCTTCACGAAGGGCACCCGGTTCTTGTCCTCGTGCACCGACAGGTTAACCTTCGAGACTGCAGGTTAGAATGTTCAGGTTCAGGTTAGAAGGTTCACCTTCGAGACTGAAAGTTAGAATGTTCAGGTTCAGGTTAGACTGTTCAAGACACGTTCACTTTCGAGACTGAAAATGAGGTAAACAAGTTATTGCTAGAGAGACTAGTTAAGGTGCGTTAGGTCTTGTTATGCTTGCTACTTATACTTTGCTTGGGTAATGTATCCCATTGTTAAGTAATTTATTCTTTGCTTGAGTAATTTATACAACGTTTAAACAACTAGCGGATAAGCAGCGAATTGAGATTACTTCAGATACGTGCTGCCATAAATGGATGGGATTGTGTAAGACAAAAAATTTTTTGTGTACTTTATCAAAATTATTAAATGGGTTCTAACGAGTCTGAAGATGCAACTTTTTTAATTTCAAAAGTTACTGATATCGCTAAGTGCCCTATTCTACATGATAAGCATGTAGGTCCAGGTCCGAGAAAATAATGCTTCGCAAACAGAATCATTAAATACCGGTTTTGGTTTTAAATAAAAGTTTTGGGAATTGCGTTTACTGGAAATTTAACTGGTATATACTCTGTATTACGACATAAGAACGAGCTTTTTTTGCTTACAGGCTCATGTCAAAGATAAGTTTTATTTTATTTTTACACTTCAGGACTAAGATTATTTTCTAGGATTATAGTGAAATCACTACGTATCCTGGGATCGGAATAGTTATTCACGCTCATTGAACAACTGCGATAGCCTACTGAAAGCCAATTACTAAATATACTTTATTATTATATGCGCGAATTATTAACGCATTTAAAGCCCAAAGGCAACTCACTGTCCAACAAGTCGCGGATTTTGTCCATGTAGATCTCGAAGTAGGAGACCTTGATGTGGAACTCCAGCGACTCCTCCATGTTGTAGATGTGGTTGAAGATGTCGTGTACGATCCTCGGGATGATGCCTGTACATTACATATGCAAATTACAGCAATATTGTTCTGGATGATTTGAACATCCATGACGCACAGAAATGAATTCATGGTTTTTTGTCTTAAATAAAATCTTAGAAGTCACAGTTGCTAGATATTTAAATGTTGGTAGCAAAGTCCGTAGAATAAATTTCAAGCATGTTGTGTTGCTCCACGCTAACGTTCAAAATTTTCGCCAGTTTGACAATAATTTTAGGTCAAGAAAAAACATCTTCAAGAAACTCTTTCGACCAGAAACGACGTGTGAATTGCTTTTATGTGCCTATGAGGATCCATTGGCCCCTCCATAATGCAAATCAACATTCGAACCCGTAACTATATTTTGTGAAAAAGCAGCGAGTATTTACTAATAAATTCTTTTTCCCCGCACTATTGGCTAATAAATATAACATTTAGGGTACGCGACACTTAACTTACAAGTTAATCGTATTAAATTATAACAAGAGAATGACTCAATTTCCTGCAATTAGAAATGCCCAAATAATGGCAAATAATTATTATCCATTTCTCTCGGGTCATGATGAGGCGGGTCCAGGCGGTGGAGAATTGACGAGAGTCTGTCTGCTCCACAGGCGCTGACAATTTATAATCACTTTCCTGAACGTCGTCTTACAGAACGCCGTCTTTCAGGACGCCGTCTTACATAAGGTCGTCATACATAAGGCCGTTATGTAAGACGATGAAACCCTTCTGCACTTCAATTCAAGAATATTGTTTGCTGTATGACGGCTCAACCATGCATTGCGTATAATATTCTTAACGCTAGTCTTAAACTAAAGGAACTGACGTGCATACCTTGGAGTGCGACGTCGCCGAGTTTGCCCTCCATGGTGTGGGTCTTGCCTGACGAGGTCTGGCCGTACGCGAAGATGGTACCGTTATAGCCGCCCAGCACATCTGGGGCAGACAAAAATAAACTTAATTTAAATCAAACATTACGCAGGTTCAGAGAAATTTTCTATGTGAAAAGAAAAAAAAATCATTTAAATTTTGTAACACCACCTATTGTGCAGTAAGGTGGAGCGAAATACAATTTTTATTAAATCCGCACTCGGACTTCAATTTTTTTTATGTGAACTCATGCCAAATTAATCCCATTCAAAGTATTTTTCAATCAAACCATTTTCAGAGATGCCGGGACTCGTAGACTCTTTTTTAGAGAAGAGAGACTCGGATAATCCAATAAATTTCATCGATTATTACAACGAATTTTGGGTATCCTAAAGTTTCCTTGTCATACTCAAGCAGTGGAAAGATGCACCAAACTTGTAATACTTACGTCACCAGCAGTTTGTGCGGAACACCAGCGGGTGGCTACTCACAAATACTCGTATAATCGAGTCCAGAAGAGAAAAGCCATCATACGCCACCAAGAAAGATTTTTTATTTACTAAGGCTTCGCTAAAAAGTAGGCGTCAGTGAGAAATATATGTTCTAGTAACAATATTGAAGTGTTTCGTGGAGAACTATATTATGTTTATTTGGATAAGTACTTTCTTAAGATTCAATGGAACTGAGAATTAGGTTGTGCCTTTAATTAAAATGATGGACCAAATAACAAACTAAATTATATTAGAATGATCAATTCATGCACCACACAACATAAAATGTTCATAAAGATATACGCTAACTTGGGATTAAAAGTTGCACTGAACGAAATTTACGTTCTGCAGGTTTGCAAGATTCCTATTGATCAGAAGAAGCCTGTATGATACTAATTTCTCACATCAGAACTTGATTGCTCCTATGTTAAGTACATGAAAAAACGATTGAGAAAATTTAATCCGAAGTTTATCGGAAGAAGGCCCATTTTCCTATTAATATTATATTATTTACAACGCTCTTATATGCCTCCGCTTATAAAGCTTTATCAGAACCTCTTACCATCAATTTGGACTAAGTTCACATTAGGCATATTATTTAATATCAAGATGGGGGATATATGTTCAGGAAGTGTCACCCAAATTATCAATTTTCGAAAATTGAACATTGCACTCAAAATTTCGATGAAATCAGATTTTTTCATATTCTCACCGGCTTTGTGGCAACTCTATAAATTGCTTGATTAGAAAATCTTTCAAAGAGAATTCATTTGGTAGGAGGGCACATAATCGAATTATAGTCAGATGGCGGATTTAAAAAAAAATTCGCTCGACTCTACTTTTGTCGCTAAACTTTTTGCCGTTGCAGCTGCACTGCAATATCACTCGGTTGGAAAGAATATGAATTCATCGCTCCATTTAAAAATGTATATTCAACCATCATATAATGTGCTTATTGAACCTAAATAACATTTACTAAGAAGACAGTGATCTTTTCAAGATAATAACCCCGAAAGACCTTGCGGCAGCTAGTTTCCAATAACGCAGCCGCAAAGCCTTTTCAAATCCCTAACAATTCTCAGCCTCAGAATTTTTCCCGACTTGTGCGTTCTTCATAAGCCTTTGCAAGCCTCAACGTCTGAGTCTTCATGCAAAGATTGTACAAACCGGCAGGATATTAAGAACTGAGATCGTGCAAAAAGTTTTTCGCTGAGTACACTGACCGTAGAGGCAACTGTAGAGTGATTTTCCACATCACCTTCAAAGTCACTGCGTGTGCAAAGGCTTGCCGAGGCTCAGTCGAAACTTAAATTCAGCTATTTCTTCAAAGAAAACTGAGCTTTGCTGATAGAGAAAGCTTGCCGTAATGCGCGCTGCAGGTTTCTAAATATTGTACGCACCTCANCTTAAATTCAGCTATTTCTTCAAAGAAAACTGAGCTTTGCTGATGGAGAAAGCTTGCCGTAATGCGCGCTGCAGGTTTCTAAATATTGTACGCACCTCACAGCCGCAATTTTGCCAAGAAAAGTGAAGGAATATGTCTGAAAATGCATCATGAACAGGATCGAAAATTTTCAACCAGTGAGCAACAGGGTCTCTGAGAGATAAGGGACCCTTGAGAGATGAGTGATCTGACTTGCGAATGAAAGAGATCTCCAGAGATTCTGCTAGAGAATGGCGAGCTGCACTTATCTTGAGATGGGCAAAGTTCTGCATTATTCCACGAAAAAAACACACATTTTTAGTATTCTTGAGATAGGCAATAACCTGCAGTTTCTCAGCAAGCAGCAGTGACCAGCAGTGTCTCAGTGAGGAGTAGTGGTTTGCAATGTTCCATGCAGGAGGGTGTCTGAAGTGCACTGAAACTGTATTGTTAGGACAGAAACTTGCAAATTATCTGTGTCTATGTATCAACTAACTAAAGCGTAAGCAAGATGAACGATTGCCCATGTCCGGATTTAAAAGAATCCTGGCAGTCACACATGCGCATCCTCTAGCAGACGGGCGCTTCGTGAACGCCACCCACTGCAGCGCCGACCGCAGGCTTAAAAGAACTGCGCTGTGATTTTAAACTTCATAGAGCCTCACTATCAAAGATAGTTACGAGCTCGAACTCTGTCAGCCAATCAACGACGACTTTCCAAATAAACCCCTAAATTGCATAAAAGAAATTGGACCCCACATTTACATGTACTTACGACGGGACGTATACTTCAAACCTTTGCTTACGTATGCGTTAACCAACAGCAATGCTATTCGTACATAAAGGCCGTACATGCGTACACTCGTCCGAGAAGTCACGTCAGCATGCAAAGGATTAAGCAAGTTGCATAATACGGCACTGACAAAGATTACTGAACAAACTCCTTGACTTTAGTTGGAGCCACACATATTGGCCTCTAGTGCATTTTGATGAACTGCTGACTTAGTAGCGCATCACGAGTAAGTGATCAACCTAATCGTATTGGTGAAATATCCGTACAGAGACTCCTGATCATAGTTGCGATATCCGTTCACTGAATCCTGATCACAGGTGCAGAAACTTCCATTTGCTAATGTGATCTCTGCACCAAAATTTGTGTTTGTGGTTGATATTATAAGGATAGTTTAATCGTGATTATCATCTCGGTACTACGGCTCTGATAGTTTGCAATCTTTACGCACTTTGTCCCGCAATCTTTCATCATCATCTTCCACTGTCACCGAATATCAGGAAAATCTTTCTCTACATGCACAATGCACATCCTTCACCATACACCGGTCTCGCTGATGTCTCGTATGGTAAGGATCGAGCGGTGTGCATTTCTCAGTCCCTGACCTGTGATGCGGCGTGTGGGAGATAGACTGCTCAGAGCTCATGCCGAACAGCAAAATGAATGTACCTCCGGATTTTCAAAATTAAGGGAGCTGAAATTTGGCAAATTTCATTGAAATGTTATCGTTATTATTCACTTCAGTTGCTTAAAAATTCAAGCCAATTCCTGAATTTTTTTCACGAGTTGGCATGCTTGATGATATGATCAATATTGGACATGTTTTTTAATCGGTGTTCACTTGAGTTGAAAGCATAGTCGATAAATATATTATTACACGACTTCGGTAGAGTTCGCACAAACACAAAATTGTAAAATATTGCCACAAGAACCTCCTAATTAAAAAATTGCCTCATTTGCGCGAAGCGGAACTCTATATTTTAAAATGAATTGACAAACCTGCACTTGCCTAACTGCGACTCGCCGGCTAAGGTAAGAAAAAGTATTCATGAATCGTGCAAAAACAGAATTTGTTGATGTGCATCAGCAGATTTGTTGCAAGTTTGCATGCATAATTAATGGAAGAAGTTACATCCCAGCAACGAAATAGCTTGTTTACATCCAGGCTGCAACATTTTTCGGACGAAATAACGAGCTTATTTGAGCAAAAATTTCAGTTATTAGTTTCATGTCGGAGAAATTTTTTCGTAATGCGGCACAAATCTCATACCAACTTTTCCGTGTTTGAAACTTCAAAATCTCGCTAATTTTCCTTGATGTCTTCGCGTGACTAGGGTGCGAAGTAAGGGCCTCGTTAGAAGACTTGAGTGACGAACTTTCAAGACGCATTTATTTGTGCTCGAAATTTGCGCCCGCAACTAAAGAAGTGAGTTCGAAGAGGGAAAATTAATTAGCGATGACGTTGAATGAACAAAACTTCTGAAAATTAATGGAAAAAATCATGCAAAACATGTCGTTCTCAGTAGTTTTCTTGACGGCAATGGCATGATTACGGAGAAAAATTATTATGATTATTATCATAAGTATTGTGTGATTTCTAAACAGGCACACTTCTCCATAGTTAGATAAACCTCCATTGTTCTCATTTCAACTTGATTTCAGTGAAGTTCGCCTCTCCTTCTTAATATATGCCTTTAAATATTGTCAGGGGAACAACATGTAAGGCTTATTCTTTATTTACGACACAACTTAATTAAAAAAACGACCGTCACGATATCAGAATAATTCACTGAAATTTAATTTCAACTAAAATTTTTAACGGAATCTGAAAGCAGGAAGGGAATTCCCATTCGCTCGCTTCATCCTTGTCAAGCGCCACCGCTCGACGCCTGCCTTAATTTGTGAAAAGTTTAGAGGGTCGTCACAGCAATCATGGAACGACATGTTGCGCGTCAACATGACTGTCGGGTGCCAGGGAAATGCATGGAAGGTCACTGACTGGTGATTGGTAAATAAGTCAATTGGAGGATGGAAATTAGGATGAATTTGGATTAGAATTTCCGAGTTAAGAATTACAGAAATAAAATGCAGATTTTCAACAATGAAATTCAATGCCGAGAACTGCGTTTTTATTTCTGTTTTCACAACCTATCAAAAGTCCTGAAACTATGATCTGAAGGCGGTACATGGAGCCATCTTGGAGGGTTTCCCAGTGTTACGGATATACAGTGATGAAGAGGTTGTATACTCCTATAGTTTTCATCTGGTCAAAGTTACCGACCGACGAAGATACGCGATTTTACAACAGTATAACTATAACAAACAGGAATTTTCAACTTCCAATTCATACCGTAAAAGAACA